ACCTTAACTTCGCTCTCCTTATTGTTCACATTAGAAAAACGGCAGTATTCGGCATTCGCGCATTACTCAAAGCTTGCTCATATTTTTCTCATAAAGCACTCCTTTCACTTTACTTCACATACATTCATTCTCATATCACTTTGGCATCGCATCATGGGGGAATACTTACCTGTGTCATCTTTCATCCGTACAACATTACAAAATCGAGCTATTCGCGCTATTTTTTAACTGTTCTCGCGACAGAAGCGCCGGCTCCCCTTCTTCAATGCAATAAAATCTTAACTGTTACCTATCTATTCAGGTTTAATTTAATTATGTTTCTGCATAAACAAATAAGAAATCAACTTTCTGCAAATTTCATTGATCCTAAGATGTTAGTTAATACTAACACAACCAGGTTTGCGGCTAATAATAACTTTTTACTTCCTAAGGTTCGTACTAACTATGGTAAATCATCTTCTCTCTTCTGTACCATCACCATATGGAATAATTTACCAACTTCGCTAAAATGCAAAGTTTCTTCAATTTCATTCAAAAACTCATTAAAAGAGTACCTGTTAAATAGTTGATCTATCTTTTTTGTGTTGTTTTATGCTGTATTATTTGTTTTTTGATTTCATGCTTCTTTGTTTTCATTCTGCTTTGTATATATTTGTTTCTGCAATTCTAACAGCTGCTTGTGCTTTTATTATTTGTAATCTTCACTGAGGGTCCCGTTGCAGTCGTGTACTTTGGGACCCTCATCTGTATATTTTATTCCCTGTAACATCCTTTTATGACATGATAATAAACTGATTGACTGATTGATTATGCTTTAGAATACCCGTGAAAATAGATAGAATACCCGTGAAGAATAGCCCGTGAAAATATACATTGGTTCAATGGCACAAAATCGCACTTACAGCGAATGTGTCCGAGCGCCGCTGATCGGTTACAGCGAACGGAGTCGGCGGTCTGCCGACTTCCCGGGAAACCAATTTCGACCACAGATCAAGCATCGGCGAGGTGCCCATACATTCTTATTGTTAAACGCCGACCCTGCTTCCGCGACCCTCTAGTTGCCGCTTTTCCCAACCCATGGATGAACGAAAGCCGTTTCCTTGCCCCATGCCCCGACTGCTTTTCTTTATGCACCTCTCTGTCCTTTGTCGCCCCGCTACTCTGAGCACCCCGCATCACCAGACGAGGCCCGTGTTTTCACACTGTCACCGATCTTTCGAAGACCGGTCGGCCATCTACACTGTTTTTGATCACTAGTTGGCGTCGCCGGCCTGGAGTGACCAGACCATTTGCTAACATCGTCGGTCATCGACTGTATACGATAGTCTGCGTCTAGTGCACGCGTGTACGCGACCCCACCGACTCAGTGATTCGTTTCGTGTTTAGGACTTGTTCTCGCTCAGTACTGTGCACTCGGCTCAGCATGCCTTCCGCACGCGTGCGGAAGCGCGAAAACGACTGTTACTTTGCCACAACGAAGCGCGAAATATCAAAGTTCGTGAGGCCACGCAAACCCGCCGGCACAACAAAACGATTTTTACTACGGCCGCCGATTCTTCAAACACGACCGCACACACCGATCCAGGTGGCTATGCTTTGACTTCTGCGCGCGCAGACACTCTTTCCAAGTTTTTCTACGTGCGAGTTTCGCGGACCTTTCAAGCAAGCTACCCAACCTGCCTCCTTCCCGTGTGTTTTGATTTTCAAGGTCGCCCTCCCGCCGCATCCTCCCCTCTCTTTATCGCAGCTCCTTGCCCTTCTTTCGCAAGTCTGCTCTCCTCTCTTTATCACAACCCCTTCGGCCACAAAGGAAGCTTCCTCCGAGCCTTCGCCTGTCTCTGTCGCTCCGCGACGCCCGCCACGCTGGCTCGAATTAGTTTCGTTTTATGAGAGGAAACGGGCCCAAAGCTGTTCCACGCGTTCTGGCATGTGTGTCACGTGTGCGCGTCTTGCTCGCTCTTGGTGTGCGGGTGTAGTCAGGATGGCAGACGGGAGGACTAGCACGCTTTTTCCTGCCGCTCAACAAAACGTCGACAGTGTGACTGCTTGGCTTGAGCGTAATCCGTGTGTTAGGCGCCGCGTTGCAGAGCGCTTGCTCATAGCTGTTGACCACCTTGCAGCCAATTTGTTGCTTCGGGCGTCCTGGTATTCAGCTGTGGAGATGGTGAACATTTCCTGGGTGGCGGTGATGGCTACTAGCGCGCAAAACTGTTTTCGCGAGGCCGACTTCGTCGACGTCGGGCCCGGTGCCGAGCCCGACGCTTCCTAACAGGACCACTGCGGCGGTGATTTGTGGCAGCGCGTCGTTGACTTCGACCTGGTAGAGCGGGTGGGACATCTGTTATGATGGTTTAACTACGGCGGATGATGATGCTGACACTGCGGAACCGTGCACTGATGGGACATTGTGAATGAAGTACATGGCGAGAGCGATTTGAAGGAATTGTATTGCGAGAACGATGAAACTTTGGAGCCAGTGCCTCATAGAGCTTATGCCTCGGGCCTCGGCGAACGAGCACCCTGCCGTTTTAAATGAAATCGAGACCGCCCTTATCGCTTCTTCTCTTCGAAACATGTGCATCACGGATTTTTTGGGGAAAAAAATTGTGTTTTCACTCGCAACTTTTTTAAAAGATGTGCTTCATTTACTACGAACTTCGGGATACAGCGAATGGATGCCGCGTCACGCTAAGGTTCGGTATAAGCGGGCTCGACTGTGTGTGTGTGTGTGTGTGTGTGTGTGTGTGTGTGTGTGTGTGTGTGTGTATATATATATATATATATATATATATATATATCCACAGGTACACGCATTCAAGTCACATACATCACCGCCCCATTAACAATATACATATAATGCCCCTCGGAACAGCCGCTATTTTTTTGCAGTGCATTTCTCGTGTGACTACGTTAGACTTGAACTAGCTTAGAGACCTCATACTGTCGAGAAGGTGAAACTTGCAGTGCGCATTTGTAGAGACACACTATATTGAGCTTCGCTAACTGTAAACTTTCGGTGCATGGCTACTCAGGATTTTTTTAGGTAGTGGGGTGTGCAGCAGGACGACTAACTTTAGCAATGGGTGGTCGCTGTGAATGCGTGTAAATATTTTAGTATACCCTGAAAAGTTAAATACAAACAAAATTTGTGGTTTAGGGGATTCAGATTCTCTCCTTATTCCCTCTCTACTTACAGCCTCTTGGTTCTGCGTGCGTTTGACACGGTATTTTTTTTTTCATCTGACAGCTTTCTGAGCAGAGATAACGTCTAATAAATCAGCTCAGTTATTCTGAATACTGTAGACGCCTAACCAACGAAGACAGAGTTATGACAGAGGAAATCAAAATAAAATGCGCCATTTCTAAATACTTTTTGATTTCTCAAGATTTTTTAAGAAGCTAAAGTTCAGTAGATTGGCGTGTCATACTTCAAGGGTTATGACATATGACATCATGTGTTAGAAATGAATGATGTGCTGGTACGAAGAAATCTGCATCAAGAAAGTGCGCCGGAGGAGCCGTAGGGCATAGCAGTTTCAGAGCGTGGCGCGCGGCTCTTTCAGTACTATTCGACTGCAGCGCCACCACTACGGGCAACGCGAAATGGATCAGGCGGCGAGGCGCGGTCACGCCACACAACACTTCTAGTACACTGTACTAAAACACTGTACTATGGCTAGAGAAACGTATTTAATTGGGTGGTTTGTTGGCTAGAAACCACATAGTTGCCAAACTAGCAAAAAAAAATCCACTAAATTATGGCTTGAAGAACTTCGATTGACGAAATTCAAGGACTTTTAAGAACCTCAAACAAATTTAAGGGTTTTCAAGGCCTTGAAATTTTCATTTCGAAATTCAAGGGTTTTCAAGGGTGTCAAAGACTGCTACGAATCCAGCCAGCCATGCATATCACTGGCACCCCCAACCGCAGACTACGGGAAGCCTTGCGTATGGCCATTTTTTTTTTTTTGCATTGCCGTGAAGCTGTGCCATGAAGCCAACTTGTGCACTAAAATTTTCATATATATAACCTGCACCTCAACTTATACATACATGTTCTGTATATTTTGATCGCGTTATATGCGAGAAAATACGTTCGATCAGTGTTCGGCCAGGTACGGCTGAGTTAGTGAGAGTTTAATACACTCGCCTGCTGGGCTCAAAGGAAACGTCATAATCATCAGATCTTCTTAAATTTTGTGGTCCAGAGATGAAATTTCGCTACAAAGAAATTTTGTGACGAATTTTTTCACGTGTTCTGTCAATTCCTTCATAGAGAGATTTGACTGTTTAATGCTCAAATGTGCCCAGAAATATGTGCTTTAGGTTGTATATTAATAATCTCTAGGGATTATTGCATTAAAAAATTTTCTATCACTTTTCTCACCAAGTTCTTTAACAGAAGTTGTTCAGTCATTTGCTTGTTTTGCTCGGCTTAGATGGGTTTTGTTTCACCGTGCTCTGTAATACCCCCAAGGTAGTCAAGAGAATATATACATCCAGTAGTCTTTCTTTTTGTAAGTGCCATAGAATGCACTTTTTATTTCCTTACCAACATAAGTGTCTGCACCGGGGCAGGCAATGCAAATAGAGTCCAATAATTTTTCAAGCAGCACATAGAAGCTTATATATCTATTTAATATGTCATGACAAAATGCTTTAAATAAAATGTGAAAATGGCACTGCAAGGGGGAAACATTTCATGAGGACTTACGCACGACATTGCAGCTATCCTGTGCCCATTTACTTTTGCAGACAAATGCCACAGTAAACTCTCACAATTGAAGTAGAATATGCAAATGAAAAATAAAGTTCAATAGACAAGCCAGAGTACACTTACCTGGAAATAAGTTAGGCAGTTGGTAAAAGCTACATTTTTTCTTTCAATTTTGATGGGAACCAAAGACCAATGCAGGCGGGTCTAAAGCCAGGTCCAGCAAATGCCCGAGCCAATTACCAATACTGAAGACCTCCAAACATACAAAAATACTGCTATTCACCTCAGCCCATGAGTGAAGATCTCGCAGCTGTGCTGTGTCCAGGTCACTAACCCCGACCGAGAGCGCCAGGCCCTCGCGGTAGATCTGCTCCGCGGCAGCCCATAGAGGGCGCACCTTTTCAGTGCTGGACTTTGCACTTGGCGGGAAAGCCACAATGAGTGAGTCCAGCTCTGACACACCAAGCTCCTCCAGCACTGAAAAATGAGGCACGATTCCACAATACTATTTGTAACTGGTGAGATGACACAAAGAGGCCACTGGATAAACAAAGTGCACTTCATAATGAGGAAACATCCTCCAGGTGGGAATAACTATAAATCGGCTTTAGCATGCTTACAGCTTAAACGAAAAAAACGCACCAGATAACATGACAAGTGGATTTGCAAAATTTGTCACAATTTGAGCATCTACCCACTTCAAACCATCTCATCCTGATTGTGGCACAGGAAGTCAACCATCTGTGTCAAAAGCAAAACACAAAATGGACAGAACAGAGGAGTTACATGATCCGAACCCCTCAGTGTTGCCTTTCGTGATGATCTCATTTTGCTAGTATGCCTCAATGTGCTAAGTCTGAACCCATTTCGTAAGCCATAAAATGTAAGCATGAAAACAAAGAAAGCACCATACCACTCATTCCAGCCCTTCATTATTGTAGACTTAATTGAAAAAATCTGAAAATAATTGTTTTTCACCGCCAACAGTTATGAATTTTAAAAGTTTAGGCATACCCCAAAGAAAAAGTGAAAACATTTATAGTACCTTCATATCCAACAGTTTTACTATGTTTATCTTTTGCAAGCAACAACATGGAACCATTGAAAGCAGAGTTGTATTTTATATTTCACTGCACACCTTATGCCAACTTCACTGCTCTCTGGATACTGAATGAAGTAGTTTGCTTCTTCTCTGCAGGCCATAATGAATTTTTCCTAAACTAGAAAGCATTACTTTCCAAAAAGTTTGCATGAATATCCTTGTAGCTTAGTGCTGCCATTGTGTGGATGGCAATAAGTTTCACTTCTATGTGATTGTTCTTCAATACTTTTGTTCCTGGCCTTTGTACAGCAATCTCACAATATTCAACACAACCACTATCACAAAAACGCCAGGCCTGCACAGAGGGTGCAGCACAGTCACAGCAAAAGCTCGAAGAGTGGAATTTCAGAGGCTTTTCCAAACACTCATGTGGTATGTGGTGCAAGCAAACCAACATTTTTAGATATGGTCAGTTGGCAAAACGCGCGGCTTTCCAGTGGCGCGGAGCAGCGTACTGCAATCGCCAATCAGACGGTGGCACTGCGGTACCGTTGAGATCGGTCTCGCTGCGTCGTCTGCTATTGCTGGAAAGGCACTGGCAGAAGTCTACCGCATCGTTTGGAAGCACAAGCGTAGCATCGCTCGCATTCAACTTGGCTTCAACGAAAAGTGCTTTTTCGTTGTATCTCAACGTTATAACCAAAAACAAACAGCACACACACACAAAAGAGAGAGAAGCAAGGACTCTGCAGCACGCTTACCTTCCTTCAATCTGTGTCCCGTTGTAACCAGCGCTTGTTCTTCGCCAATGCGCGCACAAATCGTCCCAGGATCCCATAATACCCAATCATATTCTAACTTTACCAGAACACGCATTACATGGCCAAAATCTTCTGCAAAGCCTTGAAAATCAAGAACAAGCAAGGAATGAAGAAAAATGCTTTGTAGTTTTTATTGGACCTCATGAAAGTAAATGCAACAGCTACATTTGCGGGGACATATTTACAAGGGTTAAGGTGACAGTACTATAGTGCAAGCCTTCACATCAGTTTCACTTTTTTTCTAGCAGATGCAACTTTTTCTCAAGAGCCGAGGCTTTCGCAAGCATCTCTGAAGGCAAAATGCATTCTTAGCAAATGTAAGAGAGCAGAAGCTCTACAGTAGTGTTGTTCTTGTGAGCAGGACAGCCGATGCTAGTAATGTTACACTCATAAAGGGCGTCGAGGAGGCTCCAGAAGGTGTCTGCACAGAGCCGGTTGTTGGCCAGCTCGTGTGAAATTTTGGCTTCAATGCCTCGAAACATACAGAAGAGCTCCCATCATGGCAATTTGAGGCTGCCGAGCTTAACTTCCCTCTCCAAAGTGAGAAATGCCTCTGGGCACTCGGCATTTTCAGACTGGATACTACGTATACAGTCGGAACACCTCTCACGCTTGAGGTAAGAGTGCACAAGGCAGCCGCAAAAGTAGTAAATAACACAGTCCTGTGCTGCTGGTGTGGAGTACCCATGATCAGGTGCTGTCAGTGTTTCATTCTGTGCAGTAGAACAGGTCTTCGCTAACTACGCTCCTACGGCCACTTGGAGTCTTTCATGGGATGACAGTGAGTCCTTCCTCCCCCTTTTCATGCTGTCTGCGACAGTGGCAAGCACAAAAGTCTGCTCATCACTCACATTCCCAGTGACATAAGTGCTGATTGGTGTATACAGGCTCAGAAGCCTATACATGTGTGAAAAGCTGATTAGGGTAGGGTGGTCTTCGTCACCTCCATAACTTCTTGTCACCCAGAAAAACCTCTGAAAACAAAAGCAGCATTGTTTAGTTCTTCAGGCTTGTAAACCGGGTCTGAACGTTTTCATCTTTCCCGACATAGCTGCAAGGCGGGACAAGTACACCTCTCAAACTAACTTCAACCGCCAAGTCTTGCCGGATCACAACAGCCTATTCAATGTTCACAACGCCCCCAGACTCTTCCGAGTTAGTAGAAAATAGCCTGAGAGGTAGTGGCACTCACATTCCAGGAATCAAATATTGGGCTGCCCTGCACAACAGCAAATTAGGGCGCTGCTTCTAACGTGCGAACATCGGTACATTGATCAACATCCATGCCGTCACATGCGTCGATTTCGTCACATAAATCTTCATCACTTTGGCAGCAAGCAACTTGGGCCAGGACCACTGTCCTCACTCTGGGTTGTTTTTTTGCCGACTTTGGCACCGTTGGTTTCAAGAGGTGCTCGGGTATGTTTGGAAAGATTTGGGGCACAGTGCGCTCCCTCAGTGTCCATCTGCCTCGCGGTATCGTTACAGTCTGACCGTTCACGGTGTGCTCATAGCAACTTACGATGTCCGCAGGCTCGAAATGAATGTCACAGAAGTATGTTTTTCACGTTACCTTAAAGTTCTTCCACGGGATCGCGTTTTGCCATGCCTTCAGTAAGTCAGGGTCCTTTGAAGGCTTGAAAAAATTTCATGGTGCAAGGCTTGCCGCCGCTGCCGAAGCGTACCCCGAACGGGAGCCAAGCGCGCTGCACGTCGGCATGACGAGAATTTTTCCTGACACTTCACGGTATCCACTGCAAAAAGTTAGTACCATAGTAGAACACGTCCAAACTCGAAGTACAGGCATGAGTAAGGCGCCAGCACCATAAACACACCAAACAAATGTGGCTGAAGCAATGGTCACTGCCGCTCACTGCTTCCCAACCGATCTCAACGGGACGCCAGCGTCACCTATCGCAACGGCGATAAAACGCCGCCGCCTCTCGCAACGAGTTTGCAAACTGAATTGCAAACTGAATTGCAACGAGCTTGCAAATAAACCCCGTTACAATATCTAGAAACGCTGAAGCACACTTGCTGGGTACCACCTACGGAATTAATAATAAGAAGTTCTGTATAGTAGACCAGCATTCGCTATGCTATTTCTCGTCATTCTTCTGAGAAGCGTATCCGCTGAACACTTGCAAGAAATTTTGTGCCAATTGTTCATGCAGTGGCTAACAACAATGAGGATTTTATGCCTGAAGTGCGTATGTGCCACAGTTAATAGGTGATCAAAAACAAGCTTTTGTAATGAGTTGGAGCATTGCACGACCAACTTGTTACGCTATTTGCATTGTGCGACGCCTGGTTCTTTTTTAGCTGTTAACGCTTTATTACTCATATTAACGCGATTCCTTTCCCGACATCAAGCCTGCCTAACCGAGGCTTGCGAACAAGTTCCAAGCACCAGCGTGGCTCAGTGCTGGGCTGGCATCCAGCGGACCTGGGTTCGAGCCCCACTGTGTCCTTAGTACTAGTTTTTTTCTTTCCGTGCGAAGTGGTTACAGACACCGGCGGCGGACAACTACGGCATTGCGCGTGACCCAATTTGTGATCTCGTAACAGCTTTGGCTATAAAATTTCCTTAAGAAAATCGAGTCCCAAACAAATGTCACACCCTGTAGGCATACTTTATGGTACAGAGGGTAGCTCTAAGGCCAGATGTGATTCGAAAAAAAAAAAAAAAAAAAAACTTTTGTTTATCTGTAGTCTAAAGCAATAAAATTTTTTGCTGTCTTTTTGGCATTTCATACTGATTTCAAATACCCTATTTACTCCTGTAATGAACATACTTTTTTTTTCGGAAAAATCAGAGAAAAGTTGAGGGTGCACTTATTATGTGGGCAAATTTCATAAAAACTTTTTCGAGATGAGCAAAAAATGTGGTTTTGCAGAAAAAAAGTTTCGTTGCTTAACCTTTTGCAATAGACATAGTGTACACTGTTTGGAAAGAGCTTCTTTGTTGCACTTTACTGATCTTTGGTGGTTGATAGCAGCTATCTTCTGCAAGCTGTCGCCATGCCACCCGCGCACGCCTTCAAAGCGTTTTGCAGCTATCTTTTCTCAAAATCGTTTAACTTCAACAGAAGTACCCGCAGTAATCTCGAGAGCCGCCCAAAAGTGTGCGCTACAACGCACTTTGTCAACTTCGCGATAACCTCGCACGACGACCAAGACGACGCCATTGACATTGTAGCAAGTAACCAACATTGCAGAAAGCTAACTCTGAAGCATCAAAACAAACTGTCGATAACAAGATTAACGACAAAACATGGCCGTCGCCTCTTATCCACGTGAGAAGTTCCTGCACGAGCGAAGAACAAACAAAGCGAGAATCGGGGGTGCTACCATGTTGCGAAAATCGTCACCATCTTTTCTGGGCAGCAAGAATTTTTTTTCTAGTTATCCAGAAACCTGCGACCCGTTAGTGTCAAATGAGCTTTCGCAACAGCCAATCTTGTTGCTCAAAAATCGCATAAACATTGTTGGGATTTCAAGTTTCGTATTTGCAGGAAGCGATCGTTGGCTGGCATGGGTAGATTTGTGACCTTCGCTTGCCATGTGCTTATCAGCTTAGATGTCGCTACGCTCGCACCGTTCGTGAACCCCACTATGACGCACAGATAAAAATGATGGGAGATGTGCTGCGCACAGACAGAAGACCAATACGGCACGTGGCAACGAGGAAAGGGGATAGGGAGCGAGCCGAGGTGGCTGAGAAGATTCGGCATAATAATGAAAAAATGGAAGAGATCCAACGGCTAAAGATGCGCCAGGTGTCGGTTAGCAAGACTGTAGCTAATGAATGTAGGGGCTGCGTTTATTACGCAAGAAAAAAAATCAAAATATTGACGACTGAAATTGGGGGGCACATTTATTATGCGAGAGTGTTCATTACGCGAGTAAACACAGTCTGTCATTAGTTATATAGTTAATTGCACAATTGTCATTTTGTGTTATGACAATGTGTAAAACATAGTTCATTCTGAACAAAAAATTTAAGCCACTAAACATATACGGTTTTGGGCCATCAATGGCTCATTGTCACACCGGTCCCGTTAATTAGGGAGGCAATCGCCGGGCTGATTCCAAGGGCCGAAGTATCGGCCCCCCGAACCGCACCACGAAAGCGTGGACAATTTAGAAGTGGTCCTTTTTGGCGCGCCAGCGGACACCGGCTGTGGCCCAAAGAACAAGTCAGAGCCGAGAGTTGATAAACAAAACAAATATTATATTCTCAAAAATGGCAGATCGAAAACAATACACAAGAATGCACACTACACAATAGTTACATACAATACGTCACCAATCAAACAACGTACTACACAGTACAATCAGCCACACTCAAAACAACGGACACAGACAACAATACGCACTACAATGCAGTCGCATGCATTGAACAGCCAAGACACTTAAAGACTAAAGAGATAGAAAACCTATTCAGTCCAAAGTTCTTGGAACCAAAGTCTAGATGATACTCTTCTGAGAATCACTCACTCAAAGTCCAGCGTTGTTGTCGTTCCGCAGTCTTCGAAGTTTCTCTTCCAGGAAACCTCGCCTCTTGAATTGGCTACTCTCCAAGCTTCAAACTTCTTCGCCCGAACACGTCGGCTTCACACACGCAGCTGTCGCCACGCGTCTTCGCTCGATAGCGGTAAACACACTCTCTTGCCTGTAGCTCGAGCCTTCACCCCTCAGGTGGAAATCCTCTTCATCTCCTGCTTTGTCTCTACGGACAAAACCTTCGCCGACTACACGGCGGAATCCCTATGCACTCTGGCGCTAACTTCCGTCTTCTCCTGATCTCTCATCTCGGCTGCTCGGTTAAATACCTTGCGCGCGACATTCCAGAAGGTTCTCGTCATTTCGTCGGCGCGATACGCAGCGAAGGCTGGGAAGAGGGCGAGACGGTTGGAATGCCCTCCGCGGCCGATGACTCAACTCGGTATGACCACGCCCCTTTCGTTCTAGAACTTTCGCAGGCTATCTCGGCCGCCGATGTGGGGCGAGGAGGTTCGTCGGCGAAGCCACGCTTCCGAAGGGAGAGCACGCGCCCCGGGGAGCCTTTAGATTTTTGTTTTCTTTTTTTTTTCTTTTGACCTCCCTGCGTCTCTTCCGCGCGTTACCGCAAGAATTTGGCGGCGCGCCCATTTTTAGCACTCGTTCTGTGACACTCATATTCCTCCACATTAACTTTAGAATGCACGCAAGAAAGAGCATATAAGACATTTTAATCAACAAGAAAAATTGTAATGCGAGAATTCTTGGAATCTTCAGCCAATACCAATTGCTTGCTTTAGGTTTGCATTAATTACACAGGAAATATCTCATTTCAAAGAAGATACCTGCACTTTTTGCATGTTAATATATGGGCAAATTTCATCCTGAGAAGTACCGAAAAATGTCTTGACTCAAGTATTTGCCCAGAAATGGATCTTGAGAAGAATGCATTTTCAAGATATAAGCCAAAGCTCACAAGATATGTTTTTTAAATGATTTCTTCGATCAAGAGAGCTTGGCAATGATTGTTATTTTGAGCATGTAGATTTAGAGAAATGCTCATGCGAAATGCAGTTGCAAGCAGCCAGGTGACAATTTCCAGGGGACTCTAGACAATGAGCACTTTTTAGTTTTTTAGTAGCCACCTTGAGCTCTTTAAATATGATTTTATCTTTTGTTTTGAAAGTAGAGAAATTGAACTTGCAAAAGCAAATAAAAACAAAAATGTCATTTGAGAAACAAACTTGCGCTGTTTTGACTTTCATCTCCCCCATAACTTTGCTTTGAACAATGCAATGATGCTAAATTCAGGGTAGATTCTTGAATCTTCATAATGGTGAACTGCAGCAAGAAGAAACACAGACCGATAGAACCAGAGAGCAAATGAGCACCAATTGCCTTCTTACTTTTCTGTCCTGGTATCTTTATACACTGTAACTCACCGATATCCTGGATCAACAAGGCTAAACAGCCACATCAACGCACCAAGATCTAATGCAACAGCCTCCAATGTGTACAAGTTAAAAACTATTGACACTAAGACAAAACACAACGGATGTGCCATGCACCATGCATTTTTCCTTCAAGCCTTATTCTTATTTGTGTTACAAACAAACAAAAAAAAGTCTGCCATGGCGCTGTTTACTAATGGGATAGCAGCACTGTATGATGGGCAAAAAGTGGCTAAACTGCAGCACTTCTTTTGACCAGCTGTATAAGGCTCATTCAGAGCGATGGACTTGTCATAAAGCTACAGATTAATAAATTGAAAAACCCCGAACAATAAAACATATAATTGCATGAAAAGTTGAAAGCAGTGGTGGGAACGCCTTCCAGCATTTTGGAGCTGCCAGTGGAGCAGGCAAAATCTGCTTTCGGAGCAGCTACCTCTGTGTTTGGAGCATGCACAGGCTTTTCATAATACACACAGAGGAAGAAAATTTAGCTTAATGTTCTCTGACTTGATATAATCATTTATACAGAAGTAGCAAGCCCACACATAAGCCCGAAATATAAACAAAAGCAGGGTTACATACAGAAGCAGTGACATAAAACAGAGAAGAATGTGGCCCCAACAATTAAGCTACCTGCAGCCTGAAGTTCTAGCTGCGCGAAGGCACACTCACTTACATAAGCTTGTGCATGGGGAGGCAAGATGGCAAGGGGAGGGCTGCAAAGCTAGCTAGCCCCATACATTGACATAAGTTGGGGGGGGGGGGGGGGCAAGAGGGTGGGGAAGTCACATAATAGGGAGGGGGTGCTACAATTACCCCCCCCCCCCCTAAATAAGAACGCTGAGCGTGCCTATGCCCTACACACACATTCAAAGCTTTTTACAGTAAAATCTCGATACGTACATGCACACCGAGAAGGCAGCTAATTGCGCACTAAACGTAGTATGCATTAACCACCAACTACTAGTTTGCATATCTTTTTGTGCGCCAACGCCACTAAAGAAGGAATAAATACAATTCCACAGCAAATGTTGCCCAAAGTGCTGACCACAAAGCCATTTCTTTCTTTTTACCAAATTTCAGAAATTATTGGCATTCTCACACCGCCGACTGATGGCAAGTGGTAGTAACATCAAGGAGCATTTCGAAACTATTGCAGAGTCTGGGATATGCAGCTGATGCAGTGACTGGCATAGCAACAAAAGAGACATAAGCGGCTGTCTGCGATAAATATGTACCACGACCTCCTACTTAGCGAAAACAGACAGCTTTTTTGAAGCATAGTACGATTGCACGAAGCCAATCGTCTACTAGATAGTTGCGTGCAGCACTTCGCCTACTTGGTCTACATACCGTGCCAAGCTACTTGCGCCCACTGCGCTTCAGATCGCACACAGATGCGGCGAGAAAGCTATTACGTTAATGCGATAATGTGAACTTTCTGCAAGCAATGATCTAGTGGTCCTTTCAGCGGACTGGGGCGAGCTTGGGCCCTTGGCTTACGAAAGCGTGCAGTATGGTTATAACAGTGCTATGCTTGCTGTATCGGTGCCCTTGATGTGAAATGCCCAAGTCTGCAATAGTGAGGTTCTTTTGCTTCAGCAAAGTGGTGTACGCTGAACACGGTCTGGTACAACGATCAAGGAAGCAGTGATCAATGCTCCTGCACGCTCAGGTAGTCGCCAGCTATTAAAGGAATGCAGTAGGCTTAAAATGGCGCTACATCACATACACCAGGTTTTTATCGGCGATGTCATACTGGTGCACTTTTCAGAGGTCGCCTCGTCAGGTTTTTATCGGCGATGTCATACTGGTGCACTTTTCAGAGGTCGCCTCATCACCATCATTCTTTGCCAGTGGTTACCAGAACGAGCACTGCCACGATTGCACCGAAGTGAGAATAATTGACCGGCCGATTCAGTGCTCTAACAGCTGAGCAACAGTACGCAAATTTCGCAGCACAAGTGTACAACATGACGACCATCACGTAATATCTGCTCATATTCATGCTGCCAACATTACCTTCCAATCCAAAACCACCTTGTGGTGTAGCAATAGCACAAATCAGACAAAAAAAGACCCTTTCAGAGCAGTATGGCACAGTAATGTCCAGTTGGCACAGGTTGGCACAATTGGTGCAGGTTTCCCACCACTGGAAATGTGGAGGTGTGACACTCATGCCACACTACCATAGGAGGAAACACCATATTATATCATAATTAAATATCCATATTTTCCTTTGCACATTAGACTAAAATTGAAGAGGTGCCACAGGGCAGGTCCCCTTCAAGAACTGTGTTTCAAACCATGAAAAGTGAGGCATGAACTTAGCATGAGCCCAGGAGTCATTTGAATACAGCTAAGGCATTCTCTTCAACAGTGGTGCACAGTGAACACTTCAACTGAAATGGCATTTTGCCGTTCTGCCCGCAAGATCTGAATGATGAAACGGTACCTACATTCACAATATCCACAACTTTTGAAGTTCTTTAAAGGGTCACAGCACTTTAACCCAGTATGATATGCTAAACATTCTCCAAACAATGAACAGCCTCTTCAAAGACACAACCTACCGCTTTTCACATATAGAATTTTTATATGCCAAGAAAACAAATTGCGAGCAATACCTTTGCGTGTAGCAGATTCCAAGGCTGCTGCATCAAAGTCGCTTAGAAAGACCTTCACTGGAAGAAAATACCAACTTATGTTAAAAGCAGCACAGAACTTTCATGCCAAAAAAACAAAAAAATGCCAACCTTAGCAAAATATTGCCCAGCTTTGCACACTTTACAGATAAAAATAAATGAAAAGGAGATTGTTGCTAGTGTCAAGAACAAAATTAGCTGTGAGTAAACACATAAGGTCCTAAAAACCATGACATGATTATGTGATATGATTATAAGGGCCCTGGAAATCACCGCCTGGGATTTCTCAACGTGCACCTAAATCTAAGTACATGAACCACGTGTATTTTTGGCTCCCTCAAAAATGTGACTGCTCCGTCCAGGATTCAATGCCATGACCTGCGGGTCAGCAGTCGAGCACCATAACCATTAGAGCACCGTGGGAGGTGGTCCTGAAGAATTTTCAATTACTATATTCAGCTGATTTCAAGGTATTTACAGGCAATACGTAAGGACGCATATGTTTACATGAAACTCGATATCAATTTCAGAAAACACTCGCACCCCACCCACACCTGAACCGACCTACTTAACTAAGCATTCACAGTAAATGCATTTGAATTGAATTGAAAGTTTCTTTGCCCTGAAAAAAACTTACAGGAGCAAGAGCAGAGATTAAATGCTATACAGCCCGACAAAGGGCCTCTGCTCCTAAATAGAGTTAAGCACGCAAGCCACAGAGCATCTGCATATCTAACAAATATTTTTCAATATTATTGCACAAAAATACAGCAAACATTAGCATAGTCTTACTACGCAGTGTTAAGTAAAAACAAAAGAAATTCATCACAAAGCAACAGTTCAGCAGAGCTGAAAATAGAACAGCACAACATGAAACAACAGCAAAACATGAAAATACAAAATGAGATCCATGAGCATGTTGTAAAATATTAGAAATCAAAGATATAGAAAGACAAGATATTAGACAAGATATTAGAAATCAAACTTTAGTTAGCGTACTCAATATTATGATGCATTAGTATGTTTTTTTTAATAGTGTTAGGTGTGGAATTGTGATATTTAGTAGACGATTTAACATTGTAGGATTTCATTTGTGGGGTTTAACGTCCCCAAAACCACCATACGATTATGAGAGACGCCGCAGTAGAGGGCTCCGGAAATTTCGACCACCTGGGGTTCTTTAACGTGCACCCAAATCTGAGCACACGGGCCTACAACATTTCTGCCTCCATCAGAAATGCAGCCGCCGCAGCCGGGATTCGATCCAATGACCTGCTGGTCAGCAGCAGAGTACCTTAGCCACTAGACCACCAAAGCGAGGCACATTGTAGGTATTTGGTAATGAACGTGTTGTTTGCCATAATTTGTCTTAAGTGTTGGGATTTTGTGGCATTGCTCATGCATGTGGTAATTAGTACTTCCGGGTGTTCTAAAGACATTGTGGCTTATCTTGTTTGACCCATTGCTAAAGTCTGAAGTAATACAACTGTGTTACCTTTAACATTTCATACTTTTCAAAGAGTGGTTCAGTTTTCAAGTCTTTGAAAATGCCGTGGTATTGCACAAATGCTCGTAAGACTCTTTTCTGGAGAACTAGTAGATTTTTATAGTTTGTCTGTGTGGTAGTTCCCCATACTAAGATAGATTATGTCATTTTAGAATAGAAAAGTGCATAATATAAATCTACTTGTAACCATTTTAGTAAAACTTCACTGAGCTAGTATAAACATTCCACAGCTTTATCGTTAATTTATCTACATGTGTATTCCATTGATTGATATGTGAGGTTTAACGTCCCAAAACTACCATATGATTATGAGAGACGCCGTAGTGGAGGGCTCCGGAAATTTCGAACACCTGGGGTTCTTTAACGTGCACCCAAATCTGAGCGCACGGGCCTACAACATTTCCGCCTCCATCGGAAATGCAGCCGCCGCAGCCTGGATTTGAACTCGGGACCTGCGGGTCAGCAGCCGAGTACTTTAGCCACTAGACCACTGCGGTGGGGCCATGTGTATTCCATGTCAAGCCTTCGGTACACCATACGCCTAGAAACTTCTGGCCAGTTTTCTGCTCTATCTCCCTGCCCTCACATAAAACAGTAGCTATGCGGCTTATTAGGCCGGGCAAATACTATGTTTTTTGTTTTACTTACGTTTAGTTGCAATTTGTTCAAACTAAGATAACCCGTTAGCTAATATAAGTAGTCATTAACCTGGCATTCAAGCGCTAGAATGGATGTCCCAATGAAAAATTTGTTAGTGTCATCTGCATATATTATTAACTTGGGTGAACATGGGATTTCACACAGGTCATTTATATAAATTATGAATAACAGAGGGCCAAGTATTGACCCTTGTGATACTCCTCGTATTATATTTGCAGAAAAAAATGTGCTGTTGTTTATACAAAAATATTGATAGCGGTTTGATAAATAGTCTTTCAATAATTCAAGAACTACACCACGTATGCCGTACTTGCACGCTAGTACTTTTGTTTACACGTTAGTACTTCGTGGCATACAGAATGCAATGCCTTCCTAAAATCTATGAAAAAATCAAGTGAGTACAGTTTATGTTTGATATTTTTAATTAGTTCATGTTTAAAAGGGCACCGATACAAAATTTCATGGTCGAGATTGCCTGTGGGGTCGATTCCCAAGAACATTCGTATATCACCTGCAAAGTATCAACAGCAAATATAGCTGGGAAAGTATATAAAAAGAATTTTCAAGTTTGCGTGAGCCCTCGACTCTATCGCGCCATTGACACCATCGAAGGGGACCCCGAGGTGACCCCCTACTTCCCCCACGTCACCGCGCTGTAGTCAACAGAACAAGTTATGATGACGCCATAGCCATCTTTTTTTTTTTTTTTTTTTTGCCGTGTTTGTTCCTGCAGTCTATACTTTTTGGTGGCTCATTGCGAATGCGTGGCCGTGGCTAACGCTCAGAAATTTGTGTTTGGTGACACTTCAGTACCATTTTCTATTCCAAAGTAATTCATGATGCAGACCGTGCGGAAGCGTGTCATAGTTCTGTGTGGTGACGTGGTCAAGATCTGCACACGCTAGGTGGCGACAGTTGCACGCAGTTTTGGGAGCTCTCTCATACCGAAACTGAAACTGATCGATAATGAGGGGTTTGTAGTTAATTATCTATCGCGTGCTGCAGCAAACAATGTGTTGGGTCATGACTAACAGGCCACCAGCAACACACTGCAGCAGAAAAACCCTAGGCCAAAGTTTTTGTGTCAGTACCCTTTAATATTTATCAAAGCTACTTCACAGAATTTATTTTTTTGAAAACCGTATTGAGCCTCACTGATCACATTACACTTGGTAAAGAACTTATATGAATTTATGTTTATTACATTCTCAAATACTTTAGATGGAATAGGAAGGACGAATATTGGCCTGTAATTAGTTATTAGCCCTTTATCCCCACCTTTAAAGACAGGGCATACTCTTGCTACTTTTAGGCGGTCTGGAAAAATGCCAGTCTGGAACATTCTGTTATTATATGCACAAAAACTCTAGCTACAGTATCAGCAACATATTTTAGTATAGTTGCCTTTATCTCGTCAAAACCAGCTGCTATATTATTCTTAATCTCATTTATAAATTGTACTACTTCATCTGATGTCACTGCAGATAGGGATACAAAGTTTCTAAGACAGTATTTCAATATAATACAAGGAACTGTAGTGCATTCGTTTTTGTATTCGGCACTGGTAACGAAATACTGATTCATCTTATTCGCTGCTATATAAAATGCCTGCATTAGTCTGAAGACAAAGTGATGGTGCTTGTCTCTCTTGCATCAGATTTTTGACCTCATTCCACATCTTCCTAGAGTCATTCTGTATTTTTGTAAACAGCTTTTTATAATATGCTTTTTTCGCTCGATTTAACTCGGTACTCAATCTGCTTGTTACGGTATTGTTTAAACTCTGACAACCCTTACAAGTTCCTTGTCTGAACGAATGTGTGATAAAATTTATTTTTCGCATCATCTTTTTAAGTAGTTTTCCTTCAATCTACGGCTTCCTTGCCCGTTTGTGTTTCTGATTTTAGGAAGTGACTGGAAATGCTTGCTTATAAGATGCTTTGAATTTCTCAAAGAATGCCTCGTATGCTGCATTGGAGTTTCCTTGTTCAAACATGCATGCCCAATCTATTGACTGAATATGTGTGCATATGTACGCAAAACTTCGAAGCCTGCGCCACTGATGCTGCGAGATAAGGCTTTCACCGTGGTTTTGCGTTTTGACCTGTGTGTTTGGCAGTAGACAAAAAACTGGTAGATGGTCGCTTAAGTTGACTGTTAGCAGTCCAGCGATACAGTCTTGTGAATGAATGTTTGTTACACATATGTCAAGCAATGTAGCGCTCTTTTTTGTGATTTTTGTGGCTTCTGTAATAAGATTAGTGCATGCGAAGGAGTGAATGATTTCAGCAAACTTTTTAGCAGCAGTGTCACGTGATAACATATTTATGTTGACATCTCCCATTATTACAAAAGGCATGGGAAATCGACATAGAAAAGAAAGCACATGCTCCAGATAGTCAAAGAAGTCTAATTTGTCCCCCATTGGTGGTTGACACATAACACCTTCACACTATTAACTTCTCCAAACGTACCAACAAACACTCAATGCTATTATTTATTACTAAAAACTCAGATGTAATTTCATAACTTATTGACCTTATAACCTAAATTTCTATGCCACCCCCACCTCCCCGGCCGCTTGAACGCACCAGACCATTGTACATGAAACTGGGGTGGTTATTTGGTTTCTGTTAGCCAGGTTTTCATATACATCAAAATATCAAAGCTATGGATGATCAAAGCGTGCAAGTTTATAAAAAAGCGCCACATCCAACTGCCCTGGCGTTAAAACATTGCTAAAAGCTATGTTCACCTGGAATTACCTTTTCACAAGATTCTTTACAACATTAATAAATGAATCACAGGCTTCAGAACTTTCTAATACACAATTAAGGTACTTGCCCAAGTATGCCAGTGGCCTTCAGCGTAT